TTCCATTTTATGTTCCATTGTGCTTTTTGCATCTCTGGCATACTTCGAATATGATTTATCCGTCGCTCCAAATGTTACAGGGGTGTAATCTCATTTCAAACTGCAGCTGGGACTATGCCTTCAAAAAGCAACAGCCAGGGGAACAAAATATGGTACTAGACGTATGCTTGATGTTTTATTATGCTTTTATATTTGTTGGCAGCCACCCTGAATGGCTGGGGCAATCCAGTCACATGGGTGGGGTACAAATAATAAAATTCTTCTTCTTAGCTGCATTTTAAATAGAAGCACACATTCTACTCATGTAAAAACACGCTGATTCCCGGACCGTCCGCGGGCCAGATTTAGAAGGCGATTGGGCCGGATCCAGCCCCCGGGCCTTAGTTTGTCTACCCATGGCTCACCCATGATTGCCTTAAAGGGAGATTACAGAAGTTCACAAGGGATGGGCAAATCTGTCTGTTTCAGGTTTTCTAAGTTTCTCATTTTTCCCAATCTCATATTCGATTCTCCACGTTGCAGCAGAAGTTTGTGGGATTTTGCTTTTTAAAGCAAAATGAAGATCCGTCAGCTTTTCAGTGCTAACTTCTCCTAATATGGACATGGATCACTAGATTGGCCTTTGGCCTGATCTAGGAAGCCTCTTCTGATGTTCTTATGGGGAAAGACATGCCCTCCAACATTTCACCGATGAAAATAGGGACGCCCTAGTCAATAATAATAATGATAATACCCCACCCATCTGACTGGGTTGCCCCAACCACTCTGGGCAACTTCAAACAAATACTAAAACATAATAAAACATTAAACATTTAAAATAACTTCCCTATACAGATGTCTTATAAAGGTTTCATAGTTTCTTATTTCCTTGGCTCAGGGGTTTCATAACCTCATACACTCCAGCATTTCTCCAAAGAAAACAGAGATGTCCTAAGGAAAAGCTGGACATTCCAGAATCAGATTGGAAAGTAGGACGGCTTCTGTAAATCCGGGTCTGTCTCTGGAAAACAGGGACACTTGGAGGGTCTGTAACGGTGAGGGATGGCTGCTGCTTCCACGCCCGGCCTGTGGAACCTGATTGGCTGCTTTGAGGACAGGATGATGGACTAGCCAGGCCTTTGGGCGTGATCCAGCAGGTCCTTACGTTAATCCCTTCTACAATGAAATAAGATACCGCAGACGGTAAACATTTTTGTTGGCCCATCTCTCTTTAAGATTCAGGCCTTTTCATTTCGCTGACCTTTCAGGGTGCGTCAAATGTTCTGTCTGCCCCCGTGGTTGTTTTGTAACTGAGGGCTTAGCCACACTCACCTTTCCTCTTTCAAGGAACAGTCCGCCATTGAAAGCTCTGCGTCCGAGTGGCCTTTTTTTTTTTTTTTTTTTTTGCTCTGGAGATTTCCCCTTGAAAACCCTCTCTTTAAAGCCCAAAGCTTTGTTGGAGGGGTTGTGGGAACCTTGGGACATATTTCCATGCTTGGCGGGAATGCAAAATTCGGACCCTCCAACTGTCCCTTTTTTTCCAGGGATAGTCCTGGATTTACAGAGGCTGTCCTGGAGGGTCTGGGTCAAGATGTTTGGGAAGGGGAAACAGGCAAGCAAATGTGAATAATAATAAGAAGAAACAACTGTTTAATGTGATGACAGCCTGTTGCGGATCCAATTCAACGCCATTGGTTCAGTTCCCATCAAGAGGCAGTAGACAACCAGTGTGTTTTCGGATGGGTTTGATTCCTTGTCTGCTAAGCCTGCTCTGCAGGCCTGAGGCACCTCTTTGCTTTAATCCAAGGTACCCTGGCAACAGCATCCCTTCCCTGGTTACGCCCTCCGCGGCAACAGTGATATCACCAGCTCCACCTACTCTGGCATCCTCCTCCTCTCCCTCTTAGCAAACAGGGGTGGTGACCTGATGGGGGGAGAGAGAAAGAGGGAGAAAGAGAAAGAGAGAGAAGGGGGTGTTCCTCCTTGGCTTGTCAGGCCTAATGAAAAGGGTGGCATGCCAAAAAAACCTTTCGAGATGGATGAATCTATCAGTTTCAGTTTCTCTCAGGCCACGTTTATTCCATACATTTAAAGCGCTACGATATGCTTTAAATGGCCCCCAAAGAAGCCTGGGAGCTGTACAGTGGTACCTCGGGTTACATATGCTTCAGGTTACATACGCTTCAGGTTACAGACTCCGCTAACCAATAAATAATGCTTCAGGTTAAGAACTTTGCTTCAGGATGAGAATAGAAGCACCATTAGCTAAAGTGGTGCTTCAGGTTAAGAACAATTTCAGGTTAAGTACGGACCTCTGGCACGAATTAAGTACTTAACCCGAGGTACCACTGTAGTTTGCTAAAGGTGCTGACAGTTGTTAGGAGACCCCTCCTTCCCCTCACAGGGCCGCAGTTCTCAGGAGTTTCCTGTGAAGAAAGATTGACTGTTAAAACCAGTGCTATTTTTTGAGAAAAAAACAATGAATCCACCCCCCTCATGTTCTCTTATAATGGCAATGGTGCCCACCTGAGAGGTGCCAGAACTGAGTTCTGGTGAGTTCTGGCTAAGAAAAGCCCTGGTTAAAACCACTTTGTAGCTCTGGGTGTGGAACAGGGGCTTCTGAACAACTCTAAGCACTCTTAACAGGAATCAGGGGTGCCAATTTGAATAAAATATAGAGGTGGTGGGTAAGGCCAGGTAAGCCCTGGCCTGCATAATCGGTCACAGAACACGGCCCATGTCACCATTTGAATGGCAACGTCTATCAATTTTGTAAGGTAAAGGTACCCCTGCCCATACGGGCCAGTCTTGACAGACTCTAGGGTTGTGCGCTCATCTCACTCTAGAGGCCGGGGGCCAGCGCTGTCCGGAGACACTTCCGGGTCACGTGGCCAGCGTGACAAAGCTGCATCTGGCGAGCCAGAGCCGCACACGGAAACGCCGTTTACCTTCCCGCTAGTAAGCGGTCCCTATTTATCTACTTGCACCCGGAGCTGCTTTCGAACTGCTAGGTTGGCAGGCGCTGGGACCGAACGACGGGAGCGCACCCCGCCGCGGGAATTCAAACCGCCGACCATGCGATCGGCAAGCCCTAGGCGCTGAGGCTTTTACCCACAGCGCCACCCGCATCCCATCAATTTTGAGGGGCCCCTCAAATATTTTATTGGGGTGGCGGTGAAGGGACTTCGGCACCTAGGAATTGGCCCCTATGACTGCTGTGAATTGTTCCAAAGAATCCTGCCATTTGTTACAGGTGCTGAGAGTTGTTAGGAGACCCCACCTCCACCCCCATTCACCTCACAGAGTTACAGTTCTCGGTTTCCTGTGAAGAGGGATTGGTTGTTAACCTGCTCTCTGCCTGGCCGGACTAGGCCCTTGAACTTTGACTGTCTACTTCAGCTTGCCTGGTTGGAGTCCAGCTGGCCGTGCCCTTTGCCAAGATACTCCATTGAGTTTCCCTTCCCTCTTGGTTTTCCATTCCCAGACACCTGCCCCCTCCAACAAGCCAGCCAGCACTGAGTAGGATCAACTCTCCTGGTTGAGCTCTTTTGAGGCTTCCCGCCCCACACACCCATAGGATTCCCCCCCTCCCCGCTCCAAAGTTGCTTTTGTAATCCCCACCCACCCTTGTACCTGGGTCTGGCTTGCCACATCCACAGCAGACATTAAAAGAGCCAGTGTGGTGTAGTGGTTAAGAGCGGTAGTCTCGTAATCTGGGGAACCGGGTTCGCTTCCCCGCTCCTCCACCTGCAGCTGCTGGGTGACCTTGGGCTAGTCCCACTTCTCTCTGAAGTCGCTCAGCCCCACTCACCTCACAGAGTGTTTGTTGTGGGGGAGGAAGGGAAAGGAGAATGTTAGCCGCTTTGAGACTGCTTCAGGTAGTGATAAAGCGGGATATCAAATCCAAACTCTTCTTCTTCTTCTAAAAGGTGATATATCTTTTTTAAACAGTCATGGCTTCCCCCAAGAACCATGGGAACTGTAGTTAGGTGCTGAGGGTTGCTGGGAGACACACCTATTCTCCTCACAGAAATCCCAGGTTTTCCTATGCACTTTCGTGTGTACAGTGGTACCTCGGGTTAAGAACTTAATTCGTTCCAGAGGTCTGTTCTTAACCTGAAATTGTTCTTAACCTGAAGCACCACTTTAGCTAATAGGGCCTCCCGCTGCTGCTGCGCCACTGGAGCACAATTTCTGCTCTCATCCTGAAGCAAAGTTCTTAACCCGAGGTACTATTTCTGGGTTAGCGGAGTCTGTAACCTGAAGTGTCTGTAACCTGAAGCATCTGTAACCCGAGGTACCACTGTATTTTCACAAATATATACATTCCTACGCACACTTTACCCTAGCATGTACATTCTTTGCACACATTACTTGGCTGGGGAACTGCGCTTCAAGAGAAGTGTGAATTCTCACGGAAGACTGTATTTTGGTTCACCTGTTGTTTTGGGAAGTATGAATTGAGAACTCTCCTTTAAATAAGAACAGAGTTGGAATTCTCCCCCATTCCTGTTAGGAATACAGGAAACTTCTTTCTACCCTGTTAGACCACTGGTCCATCCAGCTAGGTGTTTTCTACACTGACTAGCAGCAGCCTCTCCGGGATTTCAGGCAAATGCTCTGTTGCTGAGCTCTGGTCTTCCCCCTTAAAATAAAGCAATATTCTAGTCCTCAAGGTACAGAGAAGAGGGTTGATTTAAAGCTGACTTCTAGCAGGACCACGGGGACATCTAGCTAACCACAGGTATTCAGGCCTTCAGGCATCCCCAGCCCTCCCTGGGATTGAAACTTCAACATGCAAAACAGATGCTCTCCCACTGACCTATGTCCCTTTCTATTCTAGAATAATGACATGGAATTGGGATCTAACACTTTCCAGGGTCTCTTTAGTATTCAGATTAAGCTCCCAGCGTGCTGCAGCTCTTGACCTCTCCCGTATTTTAGCTCCCCTATGACTCCCCCACAAGGCATCCCCAAACTGAAAGCAAACCTTCCCTTCCCCAGTGTGAAAACAGGTGAGGCAGGAAAGGAGCAGCCTTTTCTCTCTTCAAGGAAACAGCTCCCCAGGGGCCCGTGTTTCCTTCTGAGTGCTCAGCCCAGCCAGTCCTGTGGGAGGTGGCCTCCCTCCCCGCCCCTTACCTGTGCTCAGGTGCTTCGGCTATAAATTCTTACCTGGAGGTGCTCGCTGGCAATCCCTGATCGCCGTGCCGCTCGGTTGACCTGCCTTGGGAGTTTACAAAAGCCCGTGACGAAGTGTGTCTCGGACACCTGTCCGCCCCACATCCCCGGATCCTCGCCATGGAACGGAATATCCTGGAGATGATCACCCTGGCCTTGATGCTCGTGGCATTGTGCCCAGGTGAGCAGATGGCAAAGTGGGTGGCCTGGAGCTTCGCGGGGGGGGGGGAGGCAAATGGGGAGGGAGATCAGCCCCACAGATATTGTCGGACAGGGGCAAAAACCCGTGGCAAATCTTGTGCTGGACTTTTGTCAGGCAAGGTGATAACAAAGGGGTGTTGGGCACCTTTTGCAGGTGTGTCGAAAGGGAGAATGGCAGACGGGTGTGGCTGGAGAAGGTGGAAGGAAGGAGAGTCGTTATTCTAGGGAACGGTGTGCTCTTTCTATGTGGAGATGGACTGGATGTTGTGAGGGGCCTCGAGGATAAGACCTGAGGCTCCTTCAGGCAGTTGTGGGGGGCGTTTTGGTGGATGTATCCTGCTACATGTCATTGCCACAATAATAATTCATTAGCTGTGGATTTATACTGGGCTGTCCGGACATCATTCTGCTTAGTTGTTTTGCAATGCTTGCCCCAGTGCTGGCAGCAGTGCTGGGTTACTTAGGGCACCAGGAAATCAGGGGCACCTCAGAAAAGGAGGAATTTTGGGGGGAAAGAATTTCACATTTGAAGAAGTCACCACAGGAAAAATCAAGACTTGGTTAGACTTCTTTACATTTCCTTCCCTCTCTTTTCTGCATTTTTCTGCTCTCTTTTGATTACTTATTCCCCACAAAACTAGGGGGGTGTCCTACTACCAGCAATCGAAACACTGTGAGGAAATCAGATCGTAAATCTGTGTCTTGTTTTGCGTTATTTTACAGATTTTATTTTATGGTTTAGCATTGTTTGTATTTTGAACCGCATATGGTGAGGGGGCACCATAATCATTTCAGTGCTTGGAGCCTCTAAGTGTCTTCATCCCTTCCTGGTTAACATGGGATTGCTGTCCAGAGGGGCCCTAGGCAGAATCACGAAATCCTAGAGTTGGAAGGGACCCTGAGGGTCATCTAGTCCAACCCCCTGCGACGCAGGAATCTCTTGTCCAAAGTGAGGCCGAAACCCATGACCCTCAGATTAAGAGCCTCATATAAAAGAGAGAGAGAGAGAGAGAGAGAGAGAGAGAGAGAGAGAGAGAGAGAATTAAGAGCTTCGTGCTCTACCGACTGAGCTATTCCACCAATAAAATAAATGCAGACATTTGTGGTATAAAAAGTTTCAGGATTTCAGCAGGTGAAGTTACAGGATGTGCACTAATGGGGAAATGAAGCAGTCTGTCTGCGCAGAAACTCTTCCAGGCGCAGCCGGGATCGGGAGTGGAATCCCCTATAACAGCCCTGTACTAACATAATCATGAAAGTACAATTTTTTAAAAAAATGAGATCTGGAGAGGGTCCAGTCTTGTAAGGAGATCACTTTAATCTCCAGCTCATTTGTTATCGTTCCTGAGCACAGGAATGTAGATGAAAGCAAAACAAATCAGGGGCATGGGAGAGTGGGCAGAGGCCTTTTGAAGTATTGGCCTCTTTTCCAGGAAAACTGATCCTACAATAAATCTGTTGGCCTTCAGGGGCCAACGCTTTAAAGTGTCTCTTTGTTGCTTAGGTTAGGCGGATTTTTACATATATATATATATGGAGGCATAATTAGGGTTTCTTAAGGAATTTGATCTTAGGAAGCAGGTCTATCTAGCTTGGTGTTGCCTACACGGGCTGGCAGCAGCTCTCCAGGTTCGTAGGCAGGAGAGGTTTCCAGCCCTACCTGAAGATTAAATATGGGGTGTTCTGCAGGCAAAGCATGTGCTCTGCTGATGACCTGGAGCCCTTCTTTTAAATATAATAGTATGATTCTAGTCCTCATGGTTTTGAACAAACGGCTGCTTTTAAACAGGAACATATGAAGCTGCCTTGTACCACCTTGCTCAGCAATGCCTACACTGACTGGCAGCAGTTCTCCAGGGTTTCAGGCAGGAGCCAATGCCGGGAACTTGGGTCCTTCTGCATGCAAAGTAAATACTCTGCTCCTGAGCTATGGGTGCTTGCCAGCTCTAATGCACATCCCCAAGGCACGTGAGGAGCAGAACATAGCCATCCATCGAGTTTTGCACTTCCCTGAATGTGGGCATGCAGGTTTCGGCTAAAAAAAGAGTCAGTTAAAAATGCTATTTGGAAAGAAAATGTATTTAGAAATGTGGAAGTTGAGATGGTTGTAGCCACTGCTAAATCCTAATCAGAGTAAGCCCATTAAAGTTAATAAACAGGAATGACTTAGGTTGGTTAATTTAAACATGTCTAGTGTGAGAAAATTAGGGTTGCCATATGTCCTCTTTTTCCAGGACACGTCCCCTTTTTCATGGGTAGAGTTGTCATAGCGATCCATAGTTAAAAGTTGAAGTCGGCAAATGTGTCTTCCTTTTTGCTCTTCAAAATATGGCAACGCTAGGCGGAATCTACTTGGATGCAACCCAATGTATGTTTAAAAGAAAAATGCATTTCAAACATATCTAAATGCGGATTTCCATCCATTTTTAAACAAACACACACACACACATACACAGTAGATTAATGCAAAAGTAGGAGTGCAGGGATGTCTATGGGGACACCAGAGAAAGGGGGAGGAAGGGCTGTAAATCAGACCGATCCCAAGCCCAAACAGATTTTCCTGCTGCTTTTCGATAAAGAGAAAGGTCCTCCCTTTAGAAGAGGGGGGAAACAACTTCTGACTCCACCCAAACTGCAAGTGTGATGGGATTGTCAATAACCAACCTTGTTAAGACAAACAAGCTTTCCTCTATTGCTTCTCCTACGGTACAGTACTCCTGGACATGGAAGCTCTACCAGCTGGTTGTCTATTAGGGCTGTAATGCTTCAACTAAGGAAAAAGCAAAGGCTGCTTTTTGTGGGGCTGTGGGGAGATTTTCCCTTCCCACTGCTTTCTTCAGAGCCTCCCTAGAGCCCCCTACAGATGTCCTTTTTTGTGCATTCATGATGATCACCAGGGCCGTTATATGTGCAGGGGCGGAGGAAGGGGGGCAGTGGGGGTGGTCCACCCCAGGTGTCATTACTGAGGGGGGTGACATTTGACGTGCCGCCCGCCTGAGACTCCCAAGCCTACCCTGAGACGTCGAGGGAGGGGGGAGCTGCGCCGCCTTGCCGGAGGCCTTCCCTCCTTACCCCTTCGTTTTGACAGCTCGGGGGAGGCTTGGGAGTCGCGGGCGGGCGGCACGTCGAATGTCACCCCCCTCAGAGATGACACCCGGGACGGACCTCCCCCACTGCCCCCCTTCCTCCGCCCCTGCACGCATATGTCATCCCCCTCCATGATGATACCTGGGCTGCTTCCTGGGGGGGGGGAGCCTCCCCCGAGCTGTCAAAAGGAAGAGGGAAGGGAGGAAGGCTGTTGGCAAAGCAGCGCAGCTCCTACCCCCCCCCCCCCCGTCCAGGAAGCAGCCCGCCATGGAAGGGTTGCTCCACCCCCATGGGCGTCTTGCCCCTTGGGACGCTGGCCATGGTACCCCCCCGGGACGCTCGCCCTGTTGCCATGTGCACAGCATGTGTGACGCTTCGGGTGCCGGAGCCGCTAGCTCCGCCTCTTTATGCGTGACCCTGTTTTCAGTCCTGTTTTTTAAGCCTGCAAAAGTTTCAGGGCAGACATCGTCCTTCATTTCCAATCAGTGCATGCCCCTTAAACTTCCTGCTGAAAGCCTGTCACCGCGATCATTTTCCTCTCGGAGTGATGCTGGATGAAGATTTTTTAAAGCCCCAAAAATCCAGCATTCTTTGTGTGGGGGAGGAAGGGGGGAATGGCAAAGGTCCAGGAGGTTGATTCAGACCTTGGGTTCATCTAGCTCAGCCCCTGTCAACACAGATTGGCAGCCTCTCTCCAGGGCTTTAGACTGGGGGGGGTCTTGCATACCTTCCAACATTTCTATGGTGAAAATAGGGACACCCTGTTGAACAACACTCCTGCCAACCTAGCAGTTCAAAAGCACGTCAAAGTGCAAGTAGATAAATAGGTACCGCTCCAGCGGGAAGGTAAACGGCGTTTCCGTGCACTGTTCTGGTTCGCCAGAAGTGGCTTAGTCATGCTGGCCACATGACCCGGAAGCTGTATGCCGGTTCCCTCGGCCAATAAAGAGAGATGAGCGCCGCAACCCCAGAGTGGTCACGACTGGATCTAATGGTCAGGGGTCCCTTTACCTTTTATTCCACAACAATGTGGGACATTCTGCATGCTAAGGCTAAGCAGATGCTCTGTCACTGAGCCACAGCCCATTTCAAGCCCCGATTGACAGGTTCTGGCCATTTCCTGCCCTGACGCTGCAAACGTGCATGCCAGAATCCCTCCCAATCGAGCCAATTCTGTGGTTTCCTGGCCCCCAAACCACACTTCTGGCAGATGTCCCACATGTCAAGAGGGATCGGGTGAGGCTGGCAATGGTTTTCAGCAGACAGCACTAACTGCGGCCATCTGAGGTTTGATCCACCCTGGGCCCAGAGGTGTTGCTGCAATGTGCTGTGCTGTGAGGGAAGGACTCTGGAAAGGAAATTGCACAATCCTTGGGTCATTCTCGCCATCAAGGGTATGCCCAGGCCTCTGCCAGAGAGACCAAGCTGACTGCTCTGGACCGGTCTAAAGGTGTAGGTTCCAGAGGAGGCCAGCAAACAGAAACTGCTTACGGTTCACACTGGAATAGGTGCAGTTTCGGTTTCCTATCCAGTTCTCATTTTTCCAATCTTTTATTTGATTTGTTGTATTTCTAGTCTGCTTTTTGATCAAGTGAATCTCAAAGGGGTTCACAAGCAATAAATAGCAACAAACATAATAAGACATAACAGATCATCACAAATACAGCATGAATCATATAAAATAATGAACAAATCATCAATCAAACCAGCACTGTTTTTCTAGAAAAAGAGGTGCCAGAACTCACCCTGAACACCTACCTCGTTCTCTTAGTTAGAATGGCAATGATGCCCACCTGAGAGGTGCCTGAACTGAGTTCCAGCAGGTTCCAGCTGGAAAAAAGCCTGGAATAAAACAATTTCAATTTATAAAACACTATTAACATCAAAATTCAGTTCTCTACATTCTTACAACAGTCTACTTTTTTTTAAAAAAAAGGGTCCTGATGAAAATTCATTAGCATTTTAGTGCAAATTTCTCCCAACTTAAACTCTGCCTAAAGTACACATTTTTGCAAAGCAATTTGCTTATCATACATTTTTCGGTTTATTTGCACTAACAGATGCATTTTTATGCAGACCTGATCCTAGTACATGCACTTTTATGCCTATTACTTGCATGGAGATCTGCAAAACTTGAAGAACTACGAATTTCAAAAGACTCTGGGTTTCAGTTTGCCAATTACTGTGGAAAGTGCAAATTACAAAACTTCACTTTTGAATGCAAACTGAATTTGCATTGCTTGGCCATCCCTTTATGGGAGACACGGGGGGGGGGGAGAGATGCTTTTGGGTTATGTTCATCGAGAGTTGATAGCTGATAGCTATAATTATCCCCCCACTACAGAAATCTTAGTCTGTTCATCATACGCAGAACCTGAAGGCGTGAATCAGGAAGATGGTAAGTTTTACAACCTTTCCACCCCCCTGGGGGAGGGGGCACAGGGGAGGGGGAATGCTGCCCCCCCAGCCTCTCAATATGGTGAAGGGGTGGGGCCTGCTCATCTGTAAAGAGTAAGGCAGGTATCTCTCCCCTTCCACGGAGCTATGAAGGAGTCGGGGAGCTGCAGGTTAAGTACTTAATTTGTTCCAGAGGTCCCTTCTTAACCTGAAACTGTTCTTAACCTGAAGCACCACTTTAGCTAATGGGGCATCCCACTGCCGCCGCGCTGCTGGAGCATGTTTTCTGTTCTCATCCTGAAGCAAAGTTCTTAAGCCGAGGTACTATTTCTAGGTTAGCAGAGTCTGTAACCTGAAGTGTATGTAACCTGAAGCGTATGTGACCCGAGGTACCACTGTACTGTATGTTGGAAGCTGCCTAGAGTGGCTGGGGCGACCCCATAAGATGTGTGGGGTATAAATAGTAAAATTATCATTATGAAATGGGGCGTCCCTATTTTCATCGGGAAAATGTTAGAGGGTATGGAATCAGAGTTGGAAGGGACCCTGAGGATCATCTAATCCAGGGTTTGTCAACCTGGTCCCTACCGCGCACTAGTGGGCATTTCAGGATTCTAGGTGGGCAGTAGGGGGTTCTACGGCACAAGCTGAATCCTCCTTCCATCAAGCACTGGTGGTCGGTAAGGAAATTTTACCAACAGAAAAGATGCATTAGTGGGTGGTAGGTATAAAAAGGTTGACTACCCCTGATCTAATCCAACTCCCTGCAATGCAAAAATACGCAGCTGTCCCTTCCAGGAATCGAACCTGCAACCTTGCCGTTATCACCACCACGCTCTAACCAACTGACCTATGCAGCTGATGCTGCTGGACTACAACTCCCATCATCCCCAGCTGCCAACAGGGGGGTTATGGGAACTGGAGCCTGACACCTGGAGGGTATCACCTTGACTGCCTTTGTGTTTTTACCACCAGTAAGAAACCTGTAGAGCCTCCAGTTTCCCAACTCCCATCATCCCTGACCACTGGCCATGCTGCTTGGGTCTGATGGGAGATGTATGGCGTCCCAACAGGTTCCCCACCACAGAAATAGTGTATCCTGGAAGAGAGTCATGGATGGCTCACCCAGGGAGTACTCCGCGCTGCAGCATTTCGTTGCAGTGTCCATTTTAGGAAGGTATTCATTAAATTAGTATTTTTTTTTTAGGGACAGAACTAAATAAATGAACAGAGAACAGTCCAAACCTGGACTGTTTATTGTGTCTTCTAAAAGAAAGCTACCCCTGCCATTCCAAGGCCATCTTCCTCCACTGCCAGAGGCAATGTGCTTCTGAATACCAGTTAGCTGGGAATTGCAACTGCGGAGAGTTGCTGTTGCACTCTGGTTCTACTTGTGGGGTTCCCAACTGGTTGGCCACCGTGAGAACAGGACACCAGACAAGAGGGTCTCTTTCCGCCTGATCCAGCAGGGCTCTTCTTAAGTTCTTAAGGCCTGGCCAGGCATGTTAAAAGCAGAAGGCTTTTTGGAGCAAAACCCATGGGTTGAATTCTCTTTGGATAAATGACGCCACTTCCAGACTCACAGCGGATGGGGAAGCCTCCAGGATGATGCTGGCCACACACGCCTGTTTTTGTGCATGCCATCTGCCAGTCTCCTACAAAAGCAAGCACAGGGCAGAGATCAATAAAGAGATGTCACTCTTCCTTGCCTACGTTGTATCTCCCTGCCCTTGAACTCCCTTACAGTTTGGACTGGATGTGGCTGCACATGCTCACTTGTTGCCTAGTATTTCAAGTTTCCCTGTGCCTATCAAAGAGGCAGCTGTTCTGGTGACTATACACAGCTGGTATTTTCCTCAGGATTTTTGGAAGCAGTCCAACATTAGAAAGATAGACTGATTACCCAAAACCGTTCTTTTGAATGTGCCATCCTTATATCACTCCATCTAGCCAAGTGGAACCTGTGGCACTCCAGAATGTCTACAACCTCCCACCATCTCTGACCATTGCCCATGCTGGCTGCAGGGCCTGATGGGAGTTGGAGTATAGCAGTGTCCAGGCTCCCCATCCCTGTTTTACACCTAAGTGCATTTCATGTGTGATCCCTGATAGGTTGGGACATGTGTCTAGGAAATGTGTAGGAACAACAGGAAGGCCTCTTCTTCACCAGCCACAAATCATTCAGGTGTTTCCCCAAAGTGGGTCATTAATGGGATTCTTTGCTATCTTCCCAGCAATCTCGGCCAGCACGGAAACCACCGTCTCTGAATCCTTACCAACACCTTCCCTACTGCCAACCATGTCTGACACCTCTTCAACAAAAGATTCCTCCACAGGACCAACCCCCGTTGAGGGAACCACGAACTCTCAAGGGACAAACCCCACCACAGAAGGATCCACGGAAACCTCCACATCCTCAGTAGAACCCCAAGGTTCCACAGCAACTTCCACAACTGGAACCCCACTAATAACATCCCCTACAGAATCCTCCGCAACAGCAACCACCTTTGAGGGAACCACGAAATCCCATGTGACAGAAATCTTCAGCGCCTCTACAGAGGGATCCACGGAAAACTCCACATCCTCAGGAGAACCCCAAAGTTCCACAGCAACTTCCACAACTGGAACCCCACCAATAACATCCCCTACAGAATCCTCCGCAACAGCAACCACCTTTGAGGGAACCACGAAATCCCATGTGACAGAAATCTTCAGCGCCTCTACAGAGGGATCCACGGAAAACTCCACATCCTCAGGAGAACCCCAAAGTTCCACAGCAACTTCCAAAACTGGAACCCCACCAATAACATCCCCTACAGAATCCTCTGCAACAGCAACCACCTTTGAGGGAACCACAAAATCCCATGTGACAGAAATCTTCAGTGCCTCTACAGAGGGATCCACGGAAACCTCCACATCCTCAGGAGAACCCCAAAGTTCCACGGCAACTTCCCCACCTGGGACCACCCCAACAGCAGCCCCGACTGAGCCCCCTTTGACAAATTTCAATATCACTTTCCACATCGCAATGGATTTTACTGACGACCTGAAGAATTCGACCTCCGAAGCATACCGCAACCTGACTGGGAAAATCGGGAAGATGGTAAGCTCTGTGGCCTTTCCAACCCCCTGGGGGAGGGGACACAGGGGAGGGGGAATGCTGCCCCCAGCCTCTCAGTCCGGGGGTGGGGTGGGGCCTGCTCATCTGTAAAGAGTAAGGCAGGTATCTCTCCCCTTCCCCGGAGCTATGAAGGAGTCGGGGAGCTGCATCCAGGGTCCCTCTAGACCTTGGCTTAATGGTGATTGTAAAACCCTTTCCGTGCGCGATCTCCTCTAGCTATGGCTGCCCCACACTTTTCCCTCTGTGACTCTGTATCACAGGGGAGGGCAGAACCAGTCAAGGATTCGGCCCTAGAAACTGAGTTTATCTCCTAATACAAAATGCGTACCTCCCCTTTCTTCCACAGTATGATGACATTTACAACTGCTCTACGTGCCATGCTAAATATGGGACATATCTTGGATTCACTGTGAACAAATTCAGGTATGGAAGGGGGATTAAATGAGGGCTGGTCAAAAGTATCATGTTGGGTTTTCTGGTTCTCACAAAAATAAGAGCAGCTTAACTGCACCCACCTGCTCCCAACCCTAGGTTGACTGCAAGGGTCTCATTCGGAACAGCTTGTCCTCTTTCCGTAGTGCTGCAAAATACAGCTCTTGCTGCTGAAAGCTTAAGAAATAGCTTCACCATGCTCTTCAATATCCTTTAGTGTTGCCCAATTACCTGTAAAGTACTTCACAGCCACACGGAAACATGAAAGCAAGCTGCCAGGGCTAGGTTGGTAGCTCTGTTCATTGAATGCAAGAGCAGTAAAGGGGTCCCAATGCCAACCAAGTGTAAACTGTTTAATTACTATATTTAATTTTACTGTTTACTATTAGATTTGAATGAATTATTTAATATTGCTTTATTTGATGTAAGTTGTTTATTTTAAAGTTATTTTGAGTTTTTTGTATTGGATCAGATTGTTATTATTAATGTTTGATGTTTTATTATTATTTTTATAGGTGTTGGAAGCCACCCAGAGTGGCTGGGGCAACCCAACCAGATGGGCCATATTTAAAAAATACATTTATTTATTTATTTACTTACTTACTACATGCATGCTGAGGCACAGAGCTGAAGAGAAGTAGCATCACAATCCTCAAACTGGGGTGTGCACTTCTGCACAGGAATCCACCCGCACTCTGTTCAAATCCACATCTTCCATTTAAAGTGTTACCGTGTCACTTTAAACTGTCATGGCTTCCTCCAAAGAATCCTGGGAGCTGTAGTTTGTTACAGGTCCTGAGAGCTGTTTGGAAGTCCCTTTTCTCCTCCCAGAGCTACAATTCCCAGATTTCCTTGGGGAGAGGGATTGGTTGTTAAACCACTCTGGACATTTTAGCTCTGGGAAGGAAACAGGAGCCGCCTAACAATTCTTGGCACCCTTAAGAACCTGCAACTCCCAGGATTCTTTGGGGGAAATGTACGTCTCTTCAGTGTGGTATAAGTTTGCTGTAAATAGATGATGTGGAGAGATAGATAGATAGTTAGATAGATAAGTTGTGTACCTTCCTCCTAGGATTACAGGGTGGTTTACAATATAAAACCACAAAAATACATAACATACTAACAAACAAAAGCAATAGAAAAATTAAAAGGCGAGATAGATGATTTAATTAACCAAAGGCCCAAGATAAGAGGAATATTGTTACCTGGCGCTTAAATATATGTAATGAAGGTGCCAGGTGAACCTCCTTAGGGAAAACATCCCACAAGCCTACTGAACCTCTCACAGAGGAAGGACCTCAGATGATGATTGAAGGATCCAGGTTGGTTCCTATGGGAAGAGTCAATCCTTGAGACCTGTTGTGTCTTTATTTTCTTATATTAATCATGCTTCTTAAAATACAAACATGCACTGGAATAATTTCAGCTCAAAATTCATTGGATGTGGCATCTGTGTATACCCACTCGTACACAATTTGGTCTGAAACATACAGTTTCTCCACTCCCTTTCGAACAGTCACATTTCAAATCCAACATTTCCACTTTCAATATGAATTCTGTGCACCACCACTGGTACAAATCATAGTGATGCAAGGGAACTGAAAAGTCACCTAGTGCAACCCCATGCCAATGTGCAGTAAATCCACGGCCACAGCATTGTTGATAGCAGGCACTCTCCACAATAACCCCAACAAAGAGGGGTGAAACAGTTTCTGAATCAGCAAGTTCCACTATTGAAAGACTTTCAGGGTTGTTTCTTTCGGGCCAGGCACTGAAGGCATGTTTCCAAAAACCATTGTACAACATTGAAGTGCCTTGGCGTGCTCAACACAGCCAAGCACGACATTCCAGGGCCAGAATGTAGAATGCTCAGTGGCAGAGCATCTGCTTGGCATGCAGAAGGTCCCAGGTTCAACCCCCAGCTTCTCCAGGTAAGGCTGGGAAAGACCCCCGGTCTAAAACCCTGGAGAGCTGCTTCCAGTCAGTGCAGATGATACTGAACTGGGTGGACCAATGGTGCAGCTCACCATATAGCAACTTCTTGTTTTCCTCTGTTTCTGCAAAGCATGCGTGTTCCTCCACTGCAGGGGGATGGAATAAAAGGCCCTTGAGGTCTCTTCCACCTCTACAATTCTGGTTTCATGCCAATTGATGCTCAGCCAGAAAACAATCCTCTCTGGCCGCGTTCCCTGGCAAAGCCAGAGATTTAAACCGAGGACCTTCTGCATTCAAAGCAGTTGCTCTACTGCTGAGTGATGGGAGTGTGGGGCTGTCAAGCTGCAGTTCCAGATCCGCCAACGCTTCTCTTTTCCCTTTCCAACGTACAGTAGCGGTTCAGTGCTGGCAGATACAACGGTACACTTCGAGAAAAGCGCAGATGTCTCCGCCGGAGTGATCAGAACTGCTCTGAGCAACGCAACAGAAGACCAATGGCAGGGTCTCAACCTGACTCAGATTGAAGGTGAAGGGCTGAAGGAAGAATAGTGGGGGGCTGGCTACTACAGCAAAGCATCCCTCAAGCTGTGTCTGCGACACAAGACTCAGAGCGCCTCATGCAGCTCCAGGCACAGAATTCCTTTCCTGGAAGTCTAGGCAGGTTTCCAGCCCTCAGTGCTGAAACTGGGATGATTTCTGTAGATTAATATGCACACAGCAGATTGCATTATGCAGAACAACAGAATGACGCTCAGGCGGGAAACACACCAAATATTTAAGGCCCTTTGGTTGGACACCAAAGTAGCACTCAACCTCTCCATCTATTGGCACAAGGATTTCTCCCTGCACAGGGGGACGCTCTCCTCTCACCACACCCCTCATGAAAGTGCTCTGGGGGTTCCCCCCAAACCTCTGGAGCAGATCTGAAGAGGGCCCAGGCTTCACTTGGGTGGGGAGGCAGGAGAGGGGGAAATGTCCCATTGAGCAAGCAGCAAGCCTTGCAAGGACAGGAAGGCAATAGCTGCATGCCGCCCGTTTCAGCTTGCCCCCAAGTATCCTGGGAACAGTGTTTGAGCGCTCACAGAGCCTTGATTCCCTGCATCCTTAGCAAGCCGTTTCCCAGGATTCTTGCAGATATCCCATGCATTTAAACGTATGGTGGGTAGAGCTTGAGGGATGTAGTGCGGTTGCAGAATCCAACTTATTTTCCCACAGATGATCTACCCAGTGAGCTATGGGTCTTCCCTACAGATTTCCCATTCCTCCCCAAAGGGAGAGGAGTAAATGGACATGGAGCGGACTCCCACCAGAAACACCCGTTCCTACCTACACATTCCTTCCATTGCGGGGTGATGGTGGGCTGGAACGCTTGACTGTGGAGGCAGCGTCCGGGTCTCCTTCCGGGGGCTAGTCCTGCTCCAGCTGGGGGGTCCCTCTCACCCCATTGATCTGCTTCCTGCTCAGGTGGTGCCCATAGAAAGAGCAACAACCCCCGCAGGTGACTATGGGAATGGAGATCAATGGAACTGAGAAGGGCTGGGAGTGGGACAAATGGAAAGAAGGGGGCTTCCCGTGATCCTGAAAGTAAGACTCCAACCCAAGCTTGAGCACCTCTAGGCACAATCCCTGAGCAGGACAGCAGGCCTGCCTCTTCTTCCTCCCCCACAAATCTTTTCCTTCCGGGAGGGGTGCTAATGAGATCGTTTCCTTTCACCTCAGTGACCAAGCAGGAGACGACAACGACGCCTTCTCCCACCACGACTAGCACCAGCTCAAAGACAACCACACCTAAGCCTCCCATAGAGCAGACGTTCACCATCACTTACCACATCACAATGAATTTTACTGAGGACTTGTTGGATTCGTCCTCCGAAGCATACCGCAGCCTGAATGAGACAATCGGGAAGATGGTAAGTTCTGTGGCCTTTCCATCCCCCTGGGGGAGGGGGCACAGGGGAGGGAAATGCTGCCCCCCAGCCTCTCGGTCCGGGGGTGGGGTGGGGCCTGCTCATCTGTAAAGAATGGGGCAGATATCTCTGTGCTACTGCAGAGCTATGAGGCTTCCAGGTTTGTGACGCAGCTTCCTGGGGATTGTCAGCCCTATACGCAGTCTTCTATTCCCCCTCGTCTTTGCTGCCCCACACGTTCTCCTCTGTGCCTCTGTTTTCCTGTGGGGTGGGGCGAAGAGAAGATGAGAAGAGCTGACTTCATCCCAGCCATGTCTCAAGCCTCAGAAAATGAGTTAATAGCATAATACAACATGCGTTATACACTTTTCTTTCCACAGTATGAGGAAGTTTTCAACTGCACGGGATGCCTTGCTGAAGGGAAATATATGGGGTACAAGGTGAATTCTTTCAGGTACGGAAGCGGGATTAAATGAGGGCACCCACCTAAGCTAGGTGGGCCGTGGCTCCAGCTGAGTATAGGGCAGCTTCCTGTGTCTCTCTGTGTTTCTGCTAAGCATGTACATGTCTCCACTGCAGGGGGTGGAACAGATGGCCCTTGAGGTCCCCTCCACCTCTACAATTCAGGTTTCATGCCATGATATGCTCAGGCTGAAAACAATCCTCTCTGGCCGCGTTCCCTGGCAAAGCCAGAGATTTAAACCAAGGACCTTCTGCATGCAAAGCAGCTGCTCTTCTGCTGAGTGATGGGAGTGTGGAGCTGTCCAGCTGCATTTCCAGATCCGCCAACGCTTCTCTTTTCCCTTTCCAACGTACAGTAGCGGTTCAGTGCTGGCAGATACAACGGTACGCTTCCAGGAAAGTGCAGGTGTTTCCGCCGATACGCTCCGCACTGCTCTGAGCGACGCACCTGAAGACAAACGGCAGGGTCTCAACCTGACTCAGATTGAAGGTGAAGGGATGAAGGATGAATAGTGGGGGACTGGCTACTACAGCAAAGCATCCCTCAAGCTGTGTCTGCGACACAAGACTCAGAGCCCCTCATGCAGCTCCAGGCACAGAATTCCTTTCCTGGAAGTCTAGGCAGGTTTCCGGCCCTCAGTGCTGAAACTGGGATGATTTCTGTAGATTAATATGCACACTGCAGATTGCATTATGCAAAACAACAGCATGACGCTCAGGCATCAAACACACCAAATATTTATGGCCCTTTGGTTGGACACCAAAGTAGCACTCAACCTCTCCATCTATTGGCACAAGGATTTCTCCCTGCACAGGGGGATGCTTTCCTCTCACCGCACCCCTCATGAAACTTCTCTGGGGGTTCCCCCCAGACCTCTGGAGCAGATCTGGAGAGGACACAGGGTTCACTTGGGCAGGGAGGAAGGAGAGGGGGAAATGTCCCATTGAGCAAGCAGCAAGCCTTGCGAGGACAGGACGCAATAGCTGCATGCCGCCTGCTTGAGCTTGCCCCCAAGTATCCTGGGAACAGTGTTTGAGCGCTCAGAGAGCTTTGATTCCCAGCATTTTTAGCAACCTGGTTCCCAGGATCCTTGCAGATATCCCATGCATTTAAATGTATGGTGGGTACACAGGAAGAGGCATGTAGTGAGGTTCCAGAATCCAGCTACTTTTACCACAGATGATCTACCCAGTGAGCTATGGGTCTTCCCCACAGATTTCCCATTCCTCCCCAAAGGGAGAGGAGTAAATGGACATGGAGGGGACTCCCACCGGAAACACCCGTTCCTACCTACACATTCCTTCCATTGCGGGGTGATGGTGGGCTGGAACGCTTGACTGTGGAGGCAGCTTCCGGGTCTCCTTCCGGGGGCTAGTCCTGCTCCAGCTGGGGGGCCCCTCTCGCCCCATTGACCTGCTTCCTGCTCAGGTGGTGCCCATAGAACGAGCAGAAAGAGATGCTCAAACTTCAACAACCCCCGCAGGTGACTATGGGGATGGAGATCAATGGAACTGAGAAGGGCTGGGAGTGGGACAAATGGAAAGAAGGGGGCTTCCCGTGATCCTGAAAGTAAGACTCCAACCCAAGCTTGAGCACCTCTAGGCACAATCCCCCCTGAGCAGGGCAGCAGGCCTGCCTCTTCTTCCTCCCCCACAAATCTTTTCCTTCCGGGAAGGGTCCTAATGAGATCGTTTCCTTTCACCTCAGTGACCAAGCAGGAGATGACAACGACGCCTTCTCCCACCACGACTAGCACCAGCTCAAAGACAACCACACCTAAGCCTCCCATAGAGCAGACGTTCACCATCACTTACCACATCACAATGAATTTTACTGAGGACTTGTTGGATTCGTCCTCCGAAGCATACCGCAGCCTGAATGAGACAATCGGGAAGATGGTAAGTTCTGTGGCCTTTCCATCCCCCTGGGGGAGGGGGCACAGGGGAGGGAAATGGTGCCCCCCAGCCTCTCGGTCCGGGGGTGGGGTGGGGCTGTAAAGAATGGGGCAGATATCTCTGTGCTACTGCAGAGCTATGGGGCTTCCAGGTATTTGACGCAGCTTCCTGGGGATTGTCAGCCCCTATATGCAGTCTTCAATTCCCCCTCATCCCTGCTGCCCCACACGTTCTCATCTGTGCCTCTGTTTTCCTGTGGGGTGGGGCGAAAAGAAAGTGAGAAGGGCTGACTTCATCCCAGCCATGTCTCAAGCCTCAGAAAATGAGTTAATAGCATAATACAACATGCGTTATACCCTTTTCTTTCCGCAGTATGAGGAAGTTTTCAACTGCACGGGATGCCTTGCTGAAGGGAAATATATGGGGTACAAGGTGAATTCTTTCAGGTACGGAAGCGGGATTAAATGAGGGCACCCACCTAAGCTAGGTGGGCCGTGGCTCCAGCTGAGTATAGGGCAGCTTCCTGTGTCTCTCTGTGTTTCTGCTAAGCATGTACATGTCTCCACTGCAGGGGGGTGGAACAGATGGCCCTTGAGGTCCCCTCCACCTCTACAATTCAGGTTTCATGCCATGATATGCTCAGGCTGAAAACAATCCTCTCTGGCCGCGTTCCCTGGAAAAGCCAGAGATTTAAACCAAGGACCTTCTGCATTCAAAGCAGTTGCTCTACTGCTGAGTGATGGGAGTGTGGGGCTGTGAAGCTGCAGTTCCAGATCCGCCAACGCTTCTCTTTTAACTTTCTAATGTACAGAAGCGGTTCGGTGCTGGCAGATACAACGGTACACTTCGAGAAAAGCACAGATATTTCCGCCGGAGTGATCAGAACTGCTCTGAGCAACGCAACAGAAGACCAACGGCAGGGTCTCAACCTGACTCAGATTGAAGGTGAAGGGCTGAAGGATGAATAGTGGGGGGGGGGCTGGCTACTACAGCAAAGCATCCCTCGGGCTGTGTCTGCGACACAAGACTCAGAGCCCCTCGTGCAGTTCGAGACACAGAATTCCCTTCCTGGAAGTCTAGGCAGGTTTCCAGCCCTCAGTGCTGAAACTGGGATGATTTCTGTAGATTAATATGCACACCGCAGATTGCATTATGCAAAACAACAGCATGACACTCAGGCAGGAAACACACCAAATATTTAAGGCCTTTTGGTTGGACACCAAAGTAGCACTAAACCTCTCCATCTGTTGGCAGAAGGATTTCTCCCTGCACAGGGGGACGCTCTCCTCTCACCGCACCCCTGATGAAAGTGCTCTGGAGCAGATCTGGAGAGGACACAGGGTTCACTTGGGCCGGGAGGGAGGAGAGGGGGAAATGTCCCATTGAGCAAGCAGCAAGCCTTGCGTGGACAGGACGCAACAGCTGCATGCCGCCCGTTTCAGCTTGCCCCCAAGTATCCTGGGAACAGTGTTTAAGCGCTCACAGAGCTATGATTACCTGCATCCTTAGCAAACCGTTTCCCAGGATTCTTGCAGATATCCCATGCATTTAAACGACTGGTGGGTACAGAGCTTGAGGGATGTAGTGAGGCTCCTCCTGCTCCAGCTGGGGGGTCCCTCTCGCCCCATTGACCTGCTTCCTGCTCAGGTGGTGCCCATAGAACGAGCAGAAAGAGATGCTCAAACTTCAACAACCCCCGCAGGTGACTATGTATGGGGATGGAGATCAATGGAACTGAGAAGGGCTGGGAGTGGGACAAATGCAAAGAAGGGGGCTTCCCGTAATCCTGAAAGTAAGACTCCAACCCAAGCTTGAGCACCTCTAGGCACAATCCCTGAGCAGGACAGCAGGCCTGCCTCTTCTTCCTCCCCCACAAATCTTTTCCTTCCGGGAGGGGTCCTAATGAGATCTTTTCCTTTCACCTCAGTGACCAAGCAGGAGACGACAACGACGCCTTCTCCCACCACGACTAGCACCAGCTCAAAGACACCCGCACCTAAGCCCCCCAAAGAGAAAACGTTCACCATCACTTACCACATCACAATGAATTATACTAAGGACTTGTTGGATTCGTCCTCCCAAGCTTACCAGAACCTGACTGGGAATATCAAGAAGATGGTAAGTTCTGTGGCCTTTCTACCCCCTGGTGGAGGGGGCGCAGGGGAGGGAAATGCTGCCCCCCAGCCTCTCAGTCCGGGGGTGGGGTGGGGTGGGGCCTGTTCATCTGTAAAGAATGGGGCAGATATCTCTGTGCCACTGCCGAGCTATGAGGCTTCCAGGTTTGTGACGCAGCTTCCTGGGGATTGTCAGCCCCTATACGCAGTCTTCTATTCCCCCTCGTCTCTGCTGCCCCACACGTTCTCCTCTGTCCCTCTCTTTTCCTGTGGGGTGGGGCGAAGAGAAAGTGAGAAGGGCTGACTTCATCCCAGCCATTTCACAAGCCTCAGAAAATGAGTTAATAGCATAATACAACATTTGTACTACCCTTTTCTTTCCGCAGTATGTGGATGTTTTCAACTGCACAGGATGCCCTGCTGAAGGGAAATATATAGGATACAAGGTGAATTCTTTCAGGTACGGAAGGGGGATTATATGAGGGCACCCACCTGAGCTAGGTGGGTCGTGGGTCCAGCTGAGTATAGGGCAGCTTCCTGTGTCTGTGTTTCTGCTGAGCATGTACATGTCTCCACTGCAGGGGGGTGGAACAGATGGCCCTTGAGGTCCCCTCCAACTCTACAATTCTGGTTTCATGCCAATTGATGCTCAGACAGAAAACAATCCTCTCTGGCCATGTTCCCTGGCAAAGCCAGAGATTTAAACCAAGGACCTTCTGCATGCAAAGCAGCTGCTCTTCTGCTGAGTGATGGGAATATGTGGCTGTCAAGCTGCAGTTCCAGATCCGCCAACGCTTCTCTTTTCCCTTTCTAATGTACAGAAATGGCTCAGTGCTGGCAGATACAACGGTACGCTTCCAGGAAAGTGCAGATGTTTCCGCCGATAAGCTCCGCACTGCTCTGAGCGACGCACCTGAAAACAAACGGCATGGTCTCACCCTGACTCAGATTGAAGGTGAAGGGCTGAAGGATGAACAGTGGGGGGCTGGGTACTACAGCAAAGCATCCCTCGGGCTGTGTCTGCGACACAAGACTCAGAGCCCCTCGTGCAGTTTGAGACACAGAATTCCCTTCCTGGAAGTCTAGGCAGGTTTCTAGCACTCAGTGTTGCTTCTACAGATTAGTATGCTCATTGCACATTGCATTATGCAAAACAATGGCATGGTGTTCATAGCAGGGAATGCACCATACATTTCAAAGTTGTTGGGTGGACTCCAGCATAGCGCTAGATCTCTTCCTCCAGCAGCATGAGGATTTCTCCTTGTGCAGAGGGACGCTCTCCTCTCCCCACACCCCTCCCGAAACTGTTCTGGGGTTCCCATGGCCTCCTGGAACAGATCTGGATGGAGCACAGGGTTCACTTTGGAAGGTGGAAGGAGAGCGAGGACTGTCTCATTCACAGGCAGAAATCCTTGTTAATGGTTAAACACCAAACATTTAAGCAAACCTCCCCCACCTCGCCCCTGGATCCTGGGAACTGTACTTTACCACAGGGAGCTACAATTCCCAGCACCTTTAGAAAAGTACAATTCCCATAATCCTTCAGGGTATTCCATTCAGACAGGGGTCTCTCCCAGCCTTACCTGAAGATGCCAGGGACTGAACTTGGAACAATCTGCATGCAAAGCAGATGAGCCATGGATCTTCCCCACAAATTTTCCATTCCTCCCAAAATGGTCATGGAGGGGACTCCCATTTGAGACGCCCATTCATACCCATTCCTGCAGGTTTAAGGTTGGCTTAGCTGCTTCACTGGGCTTCTCCAGAGGCTGCTCCTGCTGCAGCTGGGGAGGGCACCTCTCCCCCCACGGATCTGCAGTGTCCAAAGAAACAGCAGAAAGGGACAATAAAACAGGGGGTGGGACATCAACAACACCCTCAGATAGCTAGGAGGACATGGATTAACAAACTGCTCTTGAATGAAATGGAAAATGGCTGATGGTGAAATGCAATGAAGGGGGCTTTCGGTTACAAAGGCGTATGGAATCCTGAAAATTGAATCAAATCTTGCCCACCTCTAGTACCAATCCCCGAAGAGGACCACAGGCATGTCTCTTTTTCATCAGCCACACATCCCTCAGGTGTTTCCCTAAAGTGGGTTATTAATGGGATTCTTTGCTATCTTCCAGTGACCTCAGACGCCACGGAACCCCCCAACCCCCCGCCCTCAACAGCAACTCCCCCCCCGGCAACCACCTCAACGACAACCTCGACTACAACCACTCCCAATCACACAGAGACTGTCCCAGGCTGGGGCATTGCTCTCCTCGTCTTAGTTTGCATCCTTCTTCTCCTGGCGCTCATCGCCTTCCTGATCCTGGTAAGCCTCTCGGCCTTCTTTCTCAAAATCAAGCTGGTGGAGGTGCAGACCCACTGGGCCCAAAACAACAGCTCCGCCACCAGCTACATCAACCCGCCAGGCGGCTGGAGACTCAGGGAGCTGGCTCTATATAGACTCAGAGCCAGAGATGCAAGACTAGTGAGTGTGGTTGGGGCAGAGCCAATGGACCACCTGGCAGACATGGGGAACATAAGAAAGAACCTGCAGGATCAGGCCTCGTGTCTATCTAGCTTAGCATCCTATTACTCAGTAGTGAATCAGACGTGCCTGGCGATTCCCATAACCAGAATAAATGAGGCAAATTAGTGTGCACGTTGCAGATTCCACTGCACAGAACAACAGTGTGATTGCCAGGCTGCGTATGCACCATAGTGCATTGGGTAAAAGGAAACATAGAGCTAAATCTCTTGTCCCGTCAACCCTCCTGTCTTCCTTGCCACCCCAGTATATGCCCTTTGGAGGTATACTGCCACGGAACATGGAAGTGCCATTGAGCTGCTGTGGCTAAAGAGCCTTAAGAAGGGCCTTGCTGGATCAGGCCACAAAGACCCATTTATTCTAGCCCCTGTTTTCCACTACAGGAGCCAAGCGCCTGTCTCCAAAAAACTCACAAACAGGGCAACAATAGCAGCAGTTGTTACTCTTTCCCAACTGGCATTCAGAGGTAGAGTGCCTCTGGAGCTGGAGGCTTCCTCTAGCTACCTTAGCTAATACCCTTTGATTGCTAATAGCTCTTTGGACCCACCTACTAGTGGCATGTCGACCTTGGAAGGTTGCCCAGAAGGGAATGCAGCCCGCTGATGAAAATAGGCTCCCCATTTCTGTCATACGTTGTTACTCAGAAGTAGAACTTGGAATCCTAGAACTGTAGAGTTGGAAGGGTCATCTAGTCCAACCCCCTGCTCTCACAGCTCTCTCTCACCTTCCCAATCCATCTCTCCCAGCAACATGACCTTTCCTTACTCTTACTCTTCTTCACTCCCTCCCAGATCATCTACTGGTGTCGACGGAATCACCGGGGGAAGCTTGATTTGCTCAGCAACCAAGACTCCTACCACGTCATGAGTGAGTACCCGACGTACCACACACACGGGCGATACGTTGCCCCCGGAAGCAAGCCTAACCCATACAGCGAGGTGAGCAAGAGTCACTCACCCAACCCAAATCCTGGGGTGCTCTTTAGTGACCCAGGACATAGTACATAGGAATGTTAGAAACTGCCATGCCCCCGAATAAGCCCGTTGGTCCATCTAGCCTAATATTGTCTTCACTGACTGGCAGCAGCTCTCCATGATTTCAGACAGGGGGTCTGGAGATGCAAAGCAAATGCTCTCCCCTGAGCTATGGCTTTCCCCCCTTAAGAGAAAGATTCTAGTCCTCAAGTTTCTGAATGAAGGGCTGATTAAAACAGGATGCTGCTTTATACCGACTCAGATCGTTGGTCCATCTAGCTAAGTGTTGTTTGCACTGACTGGCAGCCCTACCTAGAGATGCAGGGAATTGAACCAGGGACCTTCTACATGCAAAGCAGATGCTCTACCCCTGAGCTACACCCCTTCCCTCAAAAAGAAAGGCCTCATGATTCTAAACACAGGGCTGAGACCATAGCTCAGTCGGCAGAACATGAGACCCTTAACCTGAAGTTCATGGGTTCGAGCCCCATGTTGGTTGAAAGATTTCTGAGCTTCTCCGAGTTTTGATGTTCAATACAAAGGACTATCAAAAAAACCGGCAGAGAGGAACTGAGAGGGAATTAAGAGCCTCGGATGTGAGGTCTCCAGGCTGATAGTTGATAGACTGATGGACATTTGTTGGGGATCGAAACCAGGAAAGGGGGGGGTGTTGGGAATCCAAAGGGTGTATAATTATATTTTGTTTCTTTTTATTCTGTTTTGTTACCAGTATAAAAATTGGGAAATTCGTGGAAGGGAACTTGGGTCGACCTTAGAAAAGGGTTTTAAGAATGAGCATTGACGTACAAACTGAGGTTTATAAGTTAAAATTGGTTAATTAAAATGAATTAAATATAATAAGGTGAAATTTGGGGACAAGAACTTGCTGAGCTAACAATTGGAACTGGAATACAAGAAGGGGAGGTGTGGGGAAGTCAGGGAAAGATGTTATTGAAGAAAAGGAATGTAAACTTTATGTGTTTTTAATTTTTTCCCCCCTCTCTTTTTTGAAAATTTTAATATTTTATAAAAAAAAAGAAAGATTTCTGCATTGCAGGGGGGTTGGACTAGATGACCCTCGTGGTCCCTTCCAATTCTATGATTCTATGATTCTATGAAATAGGAATGGAGGAAGCTGCCTTATACAGAGTCAGGCCTTTGGTCAATCGAGCTCAGTTCCTGTTTCCATTCCTAGTGCCTCCCCCACCTATACCCTTCTAATCTAATTCCTCCCCCCCCCCCAAAAAAAAGAAGCCCCATAGAAACAGTTAATGGTTTCATGCAGGCAGGCTTGAATTTGCCACATGGCACCTACTTGTCACCAGTGTTATTTATGTGGGGCTCTGGGGAGGTGCGCTTGGTAGCTTTCAGGAACAATTTAAAAGCATTCCTGTTCACCCAGGCATTTGATGGCTGAAAGACATTGTTCCTGGCAACCCTGAGTTCACTGTCTGAGGGACTGTTTTTAAATGCTGTTAGAAAGTTTTAACTGTTTTTAGAATTATTATTAATAATGATGTGCTGCACATCTGACTGGGCTACCCCAGCAACTCTGGGCAGCGTCCGACACATTAAAAGACATCAAACATTAAAAAGCTTGCCTGTACAGGGTGCCTTCAGATGTCTTTAGAATGGTCTGTGTATTATTATTATTATTATTATTATTATTATTATTATTATTATTCTCCTCACCCTGGGCACCTTCAGGAGGGCACCTTCAGGAGGAAGGGCGAGATATAAATTGAAATAATATTTTAAAAAAACCACCCACATTGACATTAGAGGGACTCCAGGTTCAGGCCCCTGCCCCTAAGGAGCTTAAAATCTGAAAAATTGGACAGAAGAAGGTAAACAAACACAGACTTCCAGTTAGGCCCTAAGAATTGGAGGGGTTGGGGTATAATGGGAACTATCCCAAGCCCCACCATGTTTGCAAGGCGAGATGGGGCCGCAAGTCAGTTGTTTGCCTCTAATTACTCCTTGCCTGTCCTACCCATTTCCCTACCCTGTATTACTCCCCCTGTGTCAGCCTTTACTTTGCAATCCCCTTGCGGGCAGAGACCCTGCTCGCTGAGCGACGTCAAGGGGTTTTCCCTGCAGCCAACATCTCTGCCAGCCATGATGGAGGACACCCTGAAGCCCCTGCCTCTCATCCTTCATGACACAACGGTTTCACCGCTGCCCTCGAACCCCAGAGCGGGTCTCCCTGCCCTCCACCTCTACCCCTGAGTTAATCTTTAATGGGGCAGCCGGTGCGAAAGGCCGCAGCTGTGGTCACCGTGGCAACGGCTGCTTCGGCCAAGGCTTCGGCCTAGCGCACCTGAGGCAGCCTTCGGCCTGTTGCCATGGAAACCTTTTTCCTTCCTCCAAGGCCGAGGCCTGGGGAACTTCCACAGATAACACCCACCCACCCTGCTTCCTGACAGGCCGCTGACCCTTGAGAACGGTCAGCGTAACCGTCATGGCTGGGTAGGCCATGTTGCCAAGGCGACCTGCACCAACCGACCCCAGCAGGGCCTCTCGGGCCTTAGGTGGCCTCTCAGGAAGGGGTGGGTGCCATTGCGCATGTGGCAGGGAGAGGCCTGCTAAAGTCACCTCGGCCATGCGCCGTGTCCCTCACGCTCCCCACAGAGCCGGGTGCATCTGTCCTGTTCCCTACGCGGCTCTGCTGAGCAAACATGGAGACGCTGAGCAAATATTTAGCTCGGCACCCTGGGACTGTTTGCAAATCTAGGAGGAAGGGAGAGAGAAGGGGGGCAGGGTCAAGCCAGGAACTTCAGGTCCCTGGAATGGCTTCACCCTCCTCCCTCCCGCCCTGTGCCCTTGCTGCAAATGAATACAGCGGGCATCGTGGTGGTGGTCCCAGGCTAGGACTGAGCCCCTTTGCCCTTGGCGTGGTTGCCTGGGGGTACGTGGCCAGCACCTCAGCTGGCCTGGCCGCTCCCCAGCCTCGTGACTGGGCAATGTTTACACACGACATTGAGCTGCTTGTGATGTTTCTGGCTGCCTTCCAAGGCTCTTTCCTCAGCAGCTGGCTGCTGCTCCCAGCGTTTTTAACCCCTCTGGGAAAGCGACATTCAGTGGGGTCATTCTGGGCCCCCTGGATGTTGGGGCAATTGCATGCGCATGGCCCTTTAGGTCAGCTTGCTCCACCGTGGCTTTTTCCTTATCGGAAGGGGATAAGCAAGGCGCTAGCCCTCAGTGTTCCACAGGGAAAGGTGGAAATGCACCTGAGCCCTTTGCTTCTCTCCGTTTCCTCAGCGTATCAGGTCGGAGAGAAACAGGGGGAAGTGAAGCACATGGAAAGCTGTACATATCCAGTGTCTGTGCTACTCAGAGCAAACCCATTGCAATGGATGGCGGTGGCAAACATAGCTCCCCAACAGGTCAACTCTAAGTAGAACTTAGGCCACAACCTTAAGCACTATAGTGGCACTTTAAACAGGCATGGCTTCCCCCTCAAAAAATAATTATAGGAGCTGCAGTTTGTTTGGGGAGGTAAGAGTTGTTAGGACACCCTCCATTTGTCTCCCGAAGCGACAATTTCAAGAGTTTCCTGGAATTAACTGTTAAACCACTCTATCGATGGCTATATTCTACCACCCCTGTTGGAGGCAGAGCTGCAGCTGTGCTCAGGTCCTGATTTAATAATAATAATAATAATAATAATAATAATAATAATAATAAAATTTATTTATACCCCGCCCTCCCCGGCCAAGACCGCGCTCAGGGCGGCTAACACCAAATATCAAAACAATTGATTAGAATACAGCTTAAAAAACAAAATTAAAATACAACATTAAAACATTAAAATGCAGCCTCATTTCAGTGGAACTCAATCAAAAACTTTTTGGGGGATAAAAGTCTTCACCAAGGCTAACTATAAAGACTGGTCCTATATGGATGCCAGAAAAAAGCCAGGGAAGTCCCCAAATAGGAGTTCCAACACAGAAAGAGAAAGGAAAAAAGAAAGAGAGGGAGGGAGGGAATCAAATTGGCTCCAAGCCAAAGGCCAGGCGGAACAACTCTGTCTTACAGGCCCTGCGGAAAGAAATCAGATCCTGCAGGGCCCTGGTCTCATGAGGCAGAGCGTTCCACCAAGCCGGAGCCAGTGCTGAAAAGGCCCTGGCTCTGGTTGAGGCTAATCTGACTTCCTTGGGGCCCAGGACCTCTAGGGTGTTACTATTTATGGACCTAAAGGTCCTCTGTGGGGCATATCAGTCTTCCTATGGCGACATCTTCTTGGCCACTGTGAAGACAGGGCCACTGGTCGGATCTTGGAGGCCCCTTCTGATGCTCTTATGGGTTACAGTGAGGAAAGGGTCTTGGGTCCATGCCCTGCCAGTGGACTTCCTTTTCTGAAGGACCGCTGTGGGGAACAGGATGCTGGGCTAAATCGGCCTTTGGCCTGATCCAGCAGGGCGTTCTTTTGTTCCAACAATGGCCAATCAGACCATCCTGTGAAGCTCATGACCCACAGCCGGGACAGAGCCACCCATGTGGGGAACCTTTGCCCCCCCCCAGATGCTGCTGAACTACAATTCCCATTAGTCCCAGCAAGCATGACCCACGGCCAGCAATAATGAGAGTTGCCGTTCATCAATTTCTTGAGGACAAAAGGTTCCCCACACTTACACAAAAGGTTCCCCACACTTACACACCGGCAGCCTTTGGGAAACCCTTGAAGTTTACAGAAGTGCAAAGAAAATATTTTGAAGGGGGGAACCTAAAGAGCGGGGGTCCCAAAACAACCGGGTAAAGACAGAGCATGTTCAGTGAGCCTTAGTGCCTTTTGCTTGGGGTGGGTGGAATGGTAAAAGGTAAACAGACCCCTGACCATTAGGTCCAGTCGTGACCGACTCTGGGGTTGTGGCGCTCATCTCACTTTACTGGCCGAGGGAGCCGGCGTACAGCTTCCGGGTCATGTGGCCAGCATGACTAAGCCGCTTCTGGGGAATCAAAGCAGCGCATGGAAACGCAGTTTACCTTCCCGCCAGAGCGGTATCTATTTATCTACTTGCACTTTGACGTGCTTTCAAACTGCTAGGTTGGCAGTAGCAGGGAGCGAGCAACAGGAGCTCACCCTGTCACGGGGATTTGAACTGCCGACCTTCTGATCGGCAAGCCCTAGGCTCTGTGGTTTAACCCACAGCGCCACCCGCATCCCTTCTGGGTGGAATGGAGAATGCTGCAAAAGGGCAGGGCTGGCGGGCGGGCTGCAGCCTCAGTACTCTGTGTTGCAACTGGGCCTACCTGGTTTAAATGCACAACCCGTTTTCATGTTCCCTTGGTTCAAGGTCGCTCACAAAGATGTTTTCAAAAGCAAGGCTAAGGGATGTTAACAATGTTCCAGGAAGCCTTCACACATGCCAGCCCTTACCAAGGCAAAGCTGTCCACAGGTGGCATCATCCAAAATCTGCCTCCCCACCCTGCAATAGTACCCTGTTTCTGCCACTTGCCTCACCTGTACACCTTGCAGCTGAGCTGCCCTTATTTGCTCATATCCTCCAAGTTCCAACCTTTTTAGCATGCAAAGAGGCACATTTGTTTGCTTTTTATTGTTACGTGACAAAATAACTCCTCGTGCCTTTGCTGGGAACAGGGGGCATAAAACGTCTTTTATGGGGCCTGATGACTGGCACGCCTCACAAAAGAATTTTGGACATTTTCGCTTCTGAACTTCCCTGTTGCCAAGGTAAAGGTCTCAGTGGCCTTTTGTGTAAATAGAATTTACACAGGACATGCCAATATTCAGAATTTTAAAACCTATGTTTGTCCATGTGTAAGTTATTCTGTCCAGTGTCAAATCAAGAAGGATGAAGTTTTACATGGCCAGGAGGCTTTGTTGCCCCCAAGCTATAAACCCACGAGTCTGTGAATGGGTCAAGATTTGGACCCACGTCTCCCAGTCAGACGTCTCCCACGTCTCCCTTTCAGACCCACGTCCCCTTTCAGATAAGCAGGTTGCTGTTGAATGTTCACAGGATCAGAGCGCATAAAACTGTTGGCAAGCCTGTGCAGATTACTCTACTTTCTCTCTATGCTGTATCCAGTTTTACTCAAAACTAAATCAACTGAAATGCCCGTTAGCCATTAATGGCCATTCATGTCAATGGATCTACTCTAAGTAGGGATGAATGGTCCCGCCCATTTAGAGTCTCTCTGTTTCTCATTTTTCCAAGCTTGGTTTCAGTTATCCACCTTCCTACTGTGGTTTGTGATTTTTTTGGGGGGGTGGGTGGGAGTAGGGAGGCAGAATCCTCATGAAAACTCATCAGCTTATTAGTACAAATTTCTCCTTTAAAAACCCACATTTTTGTATGCAGTTTTGACTTAACATACATATCTTTGCAAATGATTTATTCTAATATAATGCATTTTGTATGTGTTATATCCCCACAATATAGACATTTTTAGTAAACGTTATTTGGGGAATTGCATCTCAGAATTCAAAGTACAGATTTCAAAGAAGGGCTGTGTTTCCATTCTTGTATTGTTTTGGAAAGTCCGAATTCAGTAGGTTCTGCTGCAAATGCAAACTGAATCTATTTTCTCTCCCATCCTTCAGTTTGAGTTTGAATAATATTGAATACAACACACTGGACAGATAGAAATTCCATTGGGGGAACTTTTTCTGGCACAGCAATGCAAGAAGCATTGCATCTCCTGTTCCATTTCTCTTTTACTAATGGCAGAGGAGCAAGGCCAGTAGAGAGAAGTTGGCAACCCTGGAGCCAAATATGTGAATATGGTTAGTCGCTCAGCAGGGGATGTTTAGCGCCAAAGCACAACTTCCTACATGTCTTAGGTGATTGTACTAACCCTTTCCTTTCTCTGTGTGTTTTCCCCACAGAATCTACCCAGGAATGGTAACGCTCCCTTCTCCTACACCAACCCCACAATGGCCAATGATGAACTGTAGGTGGAGCGCACCCTACAGTTGGACTTGGCAAGGGGGGGTTAGCCAGAACCTGGCTGAGCCAGGTAAATTCAGGGATATTGTTGGGCTCCGGTGTGAATATGGGAAGGATGAGTTCTGCAAACAAGCTTGGAAATAGCCACTCGCCTACTCACCTGTGGTGAGTTTCAAATTCCTTGAAGGCGAACAAGCAGCACAATTTCAACAACTGAAAGAATCTATTCTATAGACGTGCCAAAAAAATCCACCCCTTGCAAATGTGTGGTGAGCGAGCAACCCTCTCCAAAGCAGTGAGGACAACTAGAGAATGCTTTGCAAAGCTAGCTGTGTCCCTCAAGCTTGGAATGTTATGTCCAGCGGAACTCCCTGTCACAAGGATCTCACCAGGGCTCAAAAGATCAATGGGAGATTCTCTTGCACTGGACAAATTAACTAAGAAGATGAAGACGAAAGGAAACCACCTAAGCTGCTGAACTGTAAATTCTGAGTTTCCAGACCATTTCCCCCATCACCATTATGAAAAAGTTGAACTTTTTTGCTTTTACTTTTACTAATTAATTTTATTTTTATTAATATTAATATTCTATTAGTGATTTTTGTAAAAAAAATTCAAACTGTGTTATAAGAGATCAACATGTACATAAATATGCAGTTCCTGCTTTCCAAACACTCACTCTGCAAGAATTCACTTATCCAAACATGAGGAATTACTACCCAAACCTCGCCAAACATTGCAAATACCCAAACATTGCAAATTCAGATATCCAAACAGGGAACATTTTTTACTTCCTTGTTTGCCTTTTGCTGGTTGGCTGAGGGACAGAACTGAACCATAGCGATCTGTATTTTAGTAAGCTTTCAGAGGGTTTTCCTAAGGGGTGGGTTTAATCTGTATTTATTTCTTATGGCTTTTAGAGGCCAAACTTCCATGGCTGGGAACGCATTAGAAATTCCCCCATAGGAATCAATGGAAATCATCGACTCCTTATATGAACTCTTGCCTCCCAAACGATTTCCAGGGGACGCATTGTGTTCAGATAGTGGGACCTGAATGAACTGCCTTTGGGGGGAGATTTGTCTGATTAGGATGCAAAATCTCAACCCCTGTGAAACCTGGGAGAGGGCAGAGTGCAATAATCAAAATAGCCGTACTCCAATCTTCTCTTCCCCACAATCCTGCTCCACACATGGAACAATCCTTGCTCCAGACAACCTTGGCATCTCTGAATACTAGCTGCCAGGAACCACAGGTGAGGAGAATCGCTGTTGTGCTCATATCCTCCTTGTGAGCTTCTTGTTGGGGCATCTGTGAGAATAGGATACAGGATTAGGTGGGCCCTGATGCAGCCGGGCTTTGCTCATGTTCTGCAGCTACAGCATGTTCCCCCCAAGTGAGAATGCAGAGGGGCAACGTGCTTCTTGACCTTATTTCCTCCACCTCAACAAGAAAAAGTTCCAGAGGAGTCAAACCCAGACACATGAAGGAACAAGATTAACCCGAAATATTTATTTAAGGTGGGGAGGAAAAGAGTATGCCCTTTCTTGCCAACCCTTGTATGCCCTTTCTTGCTTCAATGCTGGGGATACCTCTCCCCTCCCCTCCAAAAATCCTATGCTTCCATAGGGATGCTGTCATTCCAAATCTGCATTGTACAGGAGATAGTCCACAGTCCTCCTCATACAGCTTTCTAACCAGTCAACATTGTAATGGTAAATGCTTTGGAGGGGAGGTTTTTGAAAGCCAAATTTGGCAACTGCCTTATCTGCAAATCCTGGTGCTCGTGAGTGGTGTCTCGATGGACAGTTGTACAACAGCAAACCTCAGAATTCTTGGGTGAAGGGTTTTGGAGTTGTGGGGGGAGGCAAAGAGTGAGTGGGGAGGAAGAGGAAGTGCCGTGGCTTCTGTGACAAATTCTATATTTATAACATTTAACAATAAACGGATCTACGTTGGTATGGAGGGTGTGTTGCCTTCTTTGCTTTAGGGGTAGGGACCAGGAACTTCAGAGAGAATTGTGTCTCTTTTCATCACCTGGCTAAGGCTGCAAAGTTTGTTACTGGCTTGGCTGACACACACAAAACGATGGAAGATGCATCTGAACCCACATTTTCTGTGGGCCCGTGTCACTGACTTTTTGGCTGCAGAGGAACGGGAGGAACCCACTGGAAAACCAACAGAGGAGGAAGGCTCAGAGCCCTGGGATTGGTGGTGGGGCGACGATGCAAGTGGTCAGAGGGAGAAATAATAATAATAATAATTTTTATTTATATCCCGCCCTCCCCAGCCGAAGCCGGGCTCAGGGAGGCTAACAACAATAAAACAGTACAAAAGTACAGCACAAAACAACACTCTAAAATCATTCATTATAAAATTAATTAATTCAAGCCACTGGCAACCATTGGGCCAGAGCTCCGTGAAGATTGCCGAGGGAGGGAGTCAGGCTGTGCCCTGGCCAAAGGCCTGGTGGAACAGCTCTGTCTTGCAGGCCCTGCGGAAAGATGTCAAGTCCCGCAGGGCCCTGCAGATCGGAGCCACAGCCGAAAAAGCCCTGGCTCTAGTTGAGGCCAGCCTAACTTCTCTGTGGCCTGGGACCTTCAAGATGTTTTTATTTGAAGACCATAAGTTTCTCTGTGGGGCATACCAGGAGAGGCGGTCCCGTAGGTACGAGGGTCCTAGGCCGTATAGGGCTTTAAAGGTTAAAACCAGCACCTTAAACCTGATCCTGTACTCCACCGGGAGCCAGTGCAGCTGGTATAGCACCGGTTGAATGTGATCTCGCAGCGAAGACCCCATAAGGAGTCTCGCTGCAGCATTCTGCACCCGCTGGAGTTTCTGGGTCAGTCTCAAGGGCAGCCCCACGTACAGCGAGTTACAATAATCCAGTCTGGAGGTGACCGTCGCGTGGATCACAGTGGCTAGGTCAGGGCGAGAGAGGTAAGGAGCCAACTGCTTAGCTTGGCGGAGATGGAAAAATGCCGCCTTTGTTGTAGCTGCAATCTGCACCTCCATGGAAAGGGAGGTGTCGAAGATTACACCCAAACTCTTAACGGACGGTGCTGGCACTAATTGCGCCCCTGCAAGAGATGGGAGTTGCCCCCCCAATCCCATATCATCCCGTCCCAGCCACAGGACCTCTGTCTTCGAAGGATTTAGCTTAGAAGACTAGGAAGAGGAGGTTTCGGAAGAGGAAGAGGTCACAGGGTTTAGTGAGCTGGGAGAGTCGGTGGCAGAGAGGAGTCCAGAATCAGAGGCAGGAGAGTGGAATGAGGGAGGCCAAGAGGCGGAGATACATCAGGCTGGTGAAGAGTCACAGGTGTCTCTCCCACCCGCTGCGACAAGCTCCCTTCCCCACTTGTCTCCCAGAACCAGAAGAGGCATGAAAAAGGCGGAGGAGAGGCTCGCTGCACACAGGCGCAGTCTCTGATTGCTTGGGGAAAGCCCTGGGGAGTAGGAGACTTAACTGACGGCTGTGGAGAGGCAGGGATTTCAGTCCTGGCAACTGATTTTCACAGAGTAAGGCTACTGCATTACTCAGCTCAATGGACCAGTGGTCTGACTGCATGACAGCTTCTGACACTGATTTGTGGAATAGTGAGGGGGGGGGAATGCCTCCAGTTTGCCTCTTGCAACGTGGTGTGAGGCACTTTTTCTTCCCTCAGTCAACCGTTCCAAGGCAGTCTCCTCGAGAATCTGCTGGGCAAACAATAAGCGGAGGAATAATGAGGAAACGAAACTTAATATTTCAACTGACTGCGAAAGTGATGGATGACACTTTCGAAAGAAAAGAATAAGATAGAAGGTTTGTGTGCACAGAGAGAGATGGGAAGGGAACTGGCAGTGAGCCCCTCATTTACCGACACACCACAATTTCCACTTTTTTTCCAATCACGACTTGGGGAGCCAACTTCCTTTGATCCACACAATTCAGCCCTTGAGCCAATTTTAGGCTGTGTACACACCATACAATTAAAGCCCAGTTCTCCCCGCCTTGAAAAAAGAAATCACAAAGAAAATGATGCATAATTTGAGATTGCGAACAACTGGTTTTCACAGAGTAAGGCTACTGCGAATGAGCTCCTTTGCTTATTAGGCCTGACATTCAACCACATCTGTGGCGATCATGCTTTTGCTAATAAAGAGATAACTCCAACTTTGAACAATGTGATTACTGACCAGCACAGTCCTGTAAGTGGAGCAGGAACGGGGTGGGATGGCAGAAACAGAAACATTCTCAGTGGCCAGAGATCCCCTAGTATCTGTGGGGCAGAAGGGAATGGAAAGCTGGAGGGGAATGGAATGGAGAATTGCCCTCAGACCAGCTCCTGTCTCCTCAGCCTGACCTACCACACAGGGTTGTTGGGAGGATGGCGGGTTGAAGACCACGTTGGCCATTTTGAACTCCTTAGTGGAAAAGTCTGATGTGCTTGTAAGTAAAAAAACTTGCTGACGCAGTTGGAAGCCTGCGGACCACATTTCTGTCCCATACAACCACCCCTTGCCATTTCAAAAGGAATTACGTGGCAAATTGCGGGTCATAAGACCATAAAGTAATAAGATCATACTGAGATGATAAAAATCGGTGAATGATCAAAATATTTCCAGCAGCTGGTGTGTAACACCGGGACAAGGCAACTGTCCCATCTGCGCCAGGAAAAGTTTTCTTGGCAGGCTCCCAAGTCACCACAAATGAGCCACGAATGACGCAGCCACGTTGCACAGGGCTGCAAATACTTTATCCACCGGCCAACTTTGCAAAATGTTTTCACAACCTTTTGCACAAAATCTGTACCCAGGAGCATGTGAAATAAATTCTGAGATCAGTAATTTTTTTTACAGATTCGGCACCTTTGCCTTGGTGTTCTGCTTAGCTTGAACAATTTATTCCCAGAGGGGCAATGAGCAGTGATGAGCAGAGAAATCGAGGGTGCGGGGGGGGGGTCCGCTTCCTCCAGCAGGAAACCTGTTTCAAATCTCTGACTTCTAAGATTTTGACTGGCGTCACCCACGTGCTTTCCAAACCTATATTCCTCTCCATAAGGACTAGAAACTTGCTTGGGAAAAGGAAAAAGAAAGCCGGCCTTTTCAGAAAGCTGGTTATTGTGGGGTTTTCCCCCACCAGTGCCCCAGACCTCCAAGCTGGATAAAGCGCAGTAGAATTAAAGCCTGTTTTGCCATGCAAATGTTACAGGCATTTAAAAATACTAATATGATAATAATAACAGTAGCCACAAAGTGTTTTATAAACTATCCTGTCCCCTCTTACTTGCCTTTCCCCTAAACTAAAAAGTCTCAAATGCTACAACCTTTCCTCATTGGACTTAGGTATCTCTCCTAAGAAAAGGGACCTAGGGACTTGCTTTCAATCCCCATCATCTTGAGGTAGAACGATGAGGACTCGAATCTTGCTTTATTTTTAGGGGAAGGACCATAACTCAGTGAGAGAGAAAGAGAGGGAGCATATGATTCGTACATCGAAGGTCCGAGCTTCAACTCCTGACAACTAAGGTTGGGAGAAACCTTTGCCTGGAGAGCTGCTGCCAGTCAGTGTAGGCATTACTCAGCTCAATGGACCAGTGGTCTGACTGCATAAGACAGCTTCTGACGCTGATTTGTGGAATAGCGGGGGAGGGGGGGAAATGCTTCCAGTTTGCCTCTTGCAACGTGGTTTGAGGCGTTTTTTCTTCCCTCAGTCAACCGTTCCAAGGCAGAGTCCTCGAGAATCTGCTGGGCAAACAATAAGCGGAGGAATAATGAGGAAACGAAACTTAATATTTCAACTGACTGCGAAAGTGATGGATGACACTTCAGAAAGAAAATAATAAGAGAGCACAGAGAGCAAAGAAAAGAATAAGAGTGCGCAGAGAGAGATGGGAAGGGAACTGGCAGTGAGCCCCTCATTTACACACACACCCCAATTTCCACTTTTCCCCCCAGTCATGACTTGGGGAGCCAACTTCCTTTGATCCACACAATTCAGCCCTTGAGCCAATTTTGGGCTGTGTACACACCATACATTGAAAGCCCAGTTCTCCCCGCCTTGAAAAAAGAAATCACAAAGAAAATGATGCATAATTTGAGATTGCAACAAGGACCCTTTTTATATGAGTTGCCATTCCTTTATGACATGTACAGTGGAATCGTCATTTCCCAGAAAAGCCTGGCAGATCTGGAACGACACTTGACAATTGAATAACACTCATGTTCTTTATTTGGACCTCATTCTTTTAACCCATGCGCAGCTCCTACTCACCCTACAGGCCTATTTTATAGTTCGCCTTTCCTCTTTCGATTTTTGTCTGTTGTCACAACTGTTCCCCCTGTTTTATATACGTAGTAAAACGAAATTAAAAATCCTCACCCCAAAAAGAACGAGAGTAAAAAAAAGCGCTTCTGATACTCATTTTTCACCCTGTCAGATTTCTCCCCACAAAATCCTGCCAGTGCCTGGTGGAATCAGGGGCAAAGAGGAGCAAGCAGGAACCATCAAAACTGGAATCCCAGTCAAATCCAGCCTGTGCGTAACTGGGTGAAACGGGCAAGGAGTCCATTAAACACAGAAAATGTGGGCTGGGAGGGCAATTAATTGAGTGCCAAGGGCTGGGTCTGTGGTGCAAAAATCACTGCCAGGAATTGGGGTAGGACAGGGTAAACAAGAATGCGAGCCCTTCTGGGAAATCCCCAAACAGATGTTCCAACGTGACTGTCCCTGTTGTATATTTTACATCGTCCTGCTTCCTTGAGTACTAGAGATGGGTGGTGCTGCCTGGTTAAGCTTCCTTTGGTTAAGAAAACACCGGGGAAACTTTTGAGGACTTTGCATTATTTTCTTTAGAATCATGGAATTGCAGACTTGGAAGGGAGGGATCATAAGGATCTTTTAGTCTATACCATATGTGGTGTGGGTGTAAGGTGGTAAGACAATTATGGAATGAGATACATGAGGAGATCAAAAAGATCCT